TACTTTGACTTGATCATGGATCATTTATCCACAAAAACACTTGGACTTGAGACAATTATGTAATACTGAAGCTAACAATTAGAATAATTGAGAGGTTTCGTTTGATATGTAACATTAGAAACAATATGCAACGAAATTGTATGGTTTGATTGCATGCATTTACGAAGAATGAAGGAACTTTGAAAAAAGTTCAATAAAAGTAAATCGAAATGTTACCAATTAATTAATAAATAAATATGGACCCCCGATCCTCCTATAAAAGGTAGGCACATCCTCTGCAGTGATTCAAAGCAATTTCACTTGTGAATGAGCAGGCCACTTTCAATCGGCCAGAATTAGTTTAAAATAATAATGTCAAGACATACAAAAACCATATCTGGGTTAGTTTATAATGCAATTACGTATTCTGTGGGAACCGATAATTTGCTGCCTGCAATAGCAACAAGTGATTAGCGAAAATATGTATTTTAATGTCGCGACACTCGGTGTTATGTAAAGCATTAGTTGAACGATGATTTTTTCTTGTTCGCTCCCGAGTGAAACCAACTGAATACGGTCAAGGTTCACAAGCCAGCACTGAATCATCAATTACCCATTAAAAAAAAAACAGGTCTGATTTTTCGAATGCTGCGAATAAAATCTGCTTGTAATGCAAAGTGGATGATACGAAAGGCAGTTGGGAGTTAACTGTAAAGCTGCTAAGAAATTCGAGGCAGTAAGTTTATGCAAAACGCTGCCCAAAGCAACTAATTAACGAATCAAGTAGCGAACCGACAACAAGCAAGTCACATAGATTAATAATTCCCTCCTGCAGCAGTTCTACTCTACCATTGCTAAATCCCCATTTATCTTCGGCCTAACAGTATGCTCTCAAAAGCCGGCACAATACATTTGCCTTCCGTAAAAATGATTACTGCCGCTGGTCGTTACAAAATAAACGATCCGGGTCTTATAAAATCCAGTGGCGTCGAACAGCCGACGAATCTGAACATTCAAAGAGTGTTGCGTGAGCTCGAGCTAAGAACCATTGGAAAATTGCCTTTCAATGCACAAAGATAGTTTGCAGATGAAAACCGCCCCATAAAGCAGTAGATTGACCAACGACACCACTGTAATTATAGCTACGGCCGGCAGGCAATGGGCAGTCGGTATATCGATGGCCAGAATCTGACCAAGCCGACAGAGATAAAACGAGTGAACGTTGAGTCGATCGAAAAGAGAAAGGCACAGCGGCCTGCTGCCCATCCGGCGCAGAACAGTTTCCCACGATGTGTGAGTATGTATGAATGAACAGGTATATTATGGGGTCAGTATACCTACTATAAGCCCTAAGGGGACATCGAAATTAAACTGCAGGAAATACACGAGGTGAACTGATACATTCGATGTTGCCAATACCCAAACGCTGCAAAGATTTGTCCATTGATGAAAACGGAGCAGGAAATTGCTTTGCATAATTTCATTCATTCTAATTTTGCTTGCCCAACTAGAACTGGGGTTTTCTTTGGGGCCAAAAAAAAGGGCTTTCTACACCCGGTACTACCGGAGTCTAATAAAAAACTTTTTATATTTGGTGTTTAAAACTTCTAGAACTTGCACAATTTAATGGAATATGATTGTCGTTGTTGCTGCCCATTGTTTTCATAAAAGTACGCAAAATTAGGGACTAGTAACTCAACCGCAGTAAAAAAAATAAGTGCCAACAATGTGGCAACAATAGTGAATTGAATATTAGCAAATCTGTTAATTTTGCCTAATGATATGCGTCGAAGTTGTCCTGGCCGGTTGCTTGGAACCACTATGGGAAAACATCGGTCCATAATTTATCAAATTAAGTCAAACTTTATCCCCAAATGATTTCCTGCTCGAATATTTGTTATGCAAATTGGCGTAATTTATAATCCGCTGACTTTCTGGCGCTTGTAGTAATCACTTAACGATTTCAATTTCTTCATCCTGAGACTTTATTTATAACTGTTCATGTTGCAGGCACACAGTGTGATTAAGTCGTTAGTTGCAAACAAGGAATGAAAAATTCTTACAATTATTTAAACTACTGTTTATTCACACCAAAAACGAAAACTGCACAGCACAAAAATACTTGAACAAAAACTCAACAAATAAATGCTTTCAACTGCAGATTTACCTTAATCAGAATTTATATTAATAATTAATCACATACCTACCTTCGACTCTTATTAGTGTTGGGCAATAATTTAAAAAGCCCTTGAAATAATCATTGTCGACTAATTTAAACCCAAAATTGAAAAAATACAGAATATTATCGGCTTAACTTTCAAATAAGTGCTTCTTGAAATTGAGTTTCGCCGTAAATCTGAAGGAGAACAAGAGTGGCTCGTTACGTCTGCAATTTAACAAAAACGTGTTGTCCACATTATTTAAGACCGAATGAAAATTACTGGTTATTAGTTGACAAAATCTGGCAATCATTTGTTACTTTTACGATTCACACCAATTTTTAATTGGCTCACAGTCAATAAAGACAACCTGAATAAGGACGGGCAATTTTTGGCATATTGCGGAGTTTCGCTAGCAAACATGGCTACCATCTTCAGTATTGTGTTCGCACTTATAACCCAACAAGCCGGTTAAATTTAAAAAAATAATTAGTTATTGAGAATAGATTTAGATAAATGTGGAGTTGGCAAAACCATTATCAACTAATGTGTTTTTACGCAAATCAGTTTTGAATCTATTGGAGTTCCATAAACTATCTCTGACGCACAGATTCTATCTTTTAATAAGTTTCTCTATCACTTCGAGGTGTTATATCGCTACTGCATTGATCTGGGCCGTTGCTCTTTTCCAACCAGACGCCTTCCGATTTAATTAAATTTATAAAAATCACTATTCTTTTGTGGGGAAACGACGTAAAGTCGAAAGATAATATCGCTCAGAAATTATGGCCCAAGCTCCAGAGGTGCTACAGCGGTGCTACTGAATAAATTGCACATCGGTGGTGCGTAAGTATTCAATAAATAAATTGGTTATTGCCTGCTAGAGCTGCTCTACCTCATATATAGTTATGCGTATTTTTCCAAATATGAAAACGAGGCTCGATGTTTTTGCGAATGCAGAATTTCTTCGGTTATGCTCCGGAGGATTCTTATTAGTTTTAATTGGCGTTAAGGAATTTTCTTTAATAATTTTGTGATTTAGTTTTATTGCACCGATTGATAATCACCGATCTAAAGCTTATGGCTTTTGGCATGCACAACTGGCTAAGTTGAGCTTAAGCTAATTATCTTCGGGTAATGAAAATTATATTAGCACCATTATCTTCACCATTATCACAACTCTAATTAGCATGTAGGTAGGTATCTTTTCAAATAATAACCAGTTCAAAACGACTTAAAATGCAATTTTGAAAATACCATGCAGCTTGTCAGAATAAAAGTACAAAACGGGCACAAAAAGCCAAAGAAAAAGACGTTATAAAATAATTACACAAATACCCTTGAAGAGCAAATGAAAAAAATATTATCAATTACATCGATTTCTGGATGCACAGTGCATACGAAATACGGACTCAAGCCAGTTTATTATACATATTTTATTGTAATAATGGAATGGAACAATCTAAACCCATTAATATCATAATAACAACGCGAGTAGCCATTGAAAACTCGTTTTTTCCTTGAACTCTCGTAGAGTGCAAGTTGTGAGCAGGTGCATCTTGGGATTGATTGTGTTATGTAAAATCGGTTGCAGGGTGTTTTCAAACGAGATGAAATAGCAGGATATTGCGAATGCATTCACGGCGTGATAAATAGCGAGAAAAAAACCAACAAAATTCCAAGAAAAACAAACAGAGAATTATTTCTCCATTTAAGTATCATTAATATCTCAAAAATATCTTTTAAAACTTTCCAAAACAATTCCAAATTAAGTTTGTAAAACCCAACCGAGCTCAGCTCTTTTGTTAAGATTGATAACGACAAATTCCTGCCGCTTCCAGCATTAGAAACTCGTTGAAACACGCATTATTCCTTTTTAAACGAGGTAGTTGCATCTTTCAAGTACTTTGGTCTTTATTTTATTATGCGGCCGGTACTCAGTCACGAATAAAGACTATAAAAATCATATGACTGGAGGCTACCGTCTTTATGTCAGTTGTTTATTTTGTCTTTGCAACTTCAGAGCGCTTCCATTTACAAACCGCTAGATATATTGAAATTAAAGACAAATAAACGAAAAGACCCAACGTCGGGTGGTGTCGTCTTTTCAGAAAATTTTGCAAAAATCAGTCGACCGCAAAGTGTTTGCAATGCTCCCATGCCAGTTGCCAATTTGATATACATAAAATCACACACATAATTATTAAGTACTTTATGATAAAAAATTGAATATTTATATTTACACTCAACGCAAGGTTTAGCTGGAAAATATCAGACGCATTCACCATAACGTCCGGACTATTCAACGCATGCCACCCTAACATTCGCCATATTGCAGGGCAATGTGGGCGCATTCGCCATTTCATGGATATAAGATTAAGCATGAAAATGTTCTTATCTCATTCACAGATCAAGCGAAACTAGTTATGCAATGACCCTTCAAAAGCTGGAGTCATTTTTCATGATTCACTAACTTTTAATACTTTGCGATAAGCAGTGGGCACCGCAAAATCGCACATCAATATTCAGCTGCAAGACCAAACGACAACGATGCGAAGCGAGTTATAACAACTTAAACGTTCTAAATTGCAGCCGCCTAAAATACATCCTTATTAAAACAGATGAAATGAATTTTATTAACTAATATAACGGCGAAGATTATTAGTGGCGAAGAATATTAAGCATAAATTACGCACATTTGGTACTATTCAACGCATGTACAAAAGCAGTGACAGCATGGAAAATAATGGGGGTTTTATTAGAAAAACACTGTAGGCTAGGCCTCTATTACTTATCTGATTGTTTAATGCAAAAAACTTGCATGAATGCAGAATGCATGAATGCCTGAATGAATTGACTTACCAAGTGAAGCTTCCGGGTCCGACAAATCGCTGATCGATGGCACCTTCTGAATAGATCCGATGGTCTGCATCTGAGTCTGGTCCTCATCGCTGCTTTCATCGATAATCTCCTGCTTAAAAACGAAGTCTTCATCCTGAAATAGACAATAAATGATTAGATAAACTGATAGTTTTCGTAGAACAAGAAGTTTATTTTCCAGCAGCTTGACAGCTTATTTTAGCGTTTCAATGAAATTACTGTGTGGTTTATTTAGCGTTGCACTTGAATTATCCAAGTCACACCCACTATCTCGTCTGGTCATCAATTCTTTCCTACGATTGTTTTCGTGTGCCTACTCCGTATTCGCGCCACTCACACTCCATTGGCTTCATTCATGACTTAACCGAGTGCTTTGCATGCAGTTGATGTCGCAATACGTTTACCGAGAAGTACAGGGTGAGCCAAAAAGTGCTGACATCGGCGCCAAGAAATATGACTCTTTGCGGCCGTTGCTGTTTCGGAGGTGTAACTGGTATCTGGCGCATAAGTTTCATTCGTTGCAAAACCGCCTTATCATTCAAAAAAAAATAATATATAACATTAACCGAGACAGATTGAGAGCAATATTTGAGATGTATCATCATCACCAACGTGTTGTTTTCAGTGACAATAAAGCTGCAGTGAATCTAGCTGAAGAATCCCTATAAATAGGCCGAACCCTGCTCAGGTTCGTCTTCGAAACACTCTACTGGTCGGTGTTTTGCCAAGAATCGGAGTTCAAGTAATATCCACTATTTCTGGAACTTCAAAGTCAAGTTTAAAAAACGGTTATGATGGTTTTAAGGCGGTTGAACGCAAAGCAATGGCGTACAAGATTCCATTTTTGAAACGCTTCGATTAGCCTTTGTACCAGACCGAAAGTCTCGATTTTAGTTTAATGTTTACTATTGAGACTTATCAGTATTTTATCGATAAAACAACACAAATTATCCTTTTGTAGACTTTAATTCTTAATGTTATTTTTATCGGCAATGTTTGACCGCTTAATCGATGTACGTTCCAACATTTTTCTGGTCACTACTGGCAGTTTCAAAACGCGAGTCTTTTGCAAAACAGAAGCACAAATTGCGATTGAAACGTGCCGCCTATGTAGTCCATTAATAGTGAAACACATGCAAACAAAGAAATTTTGCTTCTCAACAACAGGCCCTATTTCTGGAGAATATGGTTCTTGTGTTGTGCGCTTTTGAATTACATGTTGTCCACTTGCAAATTCTGGGGTTAGCAAACAACAATAAATATTTTTTTTGCGATAAAATTAGCATATCATTTGAGCCATTTTGAGTTTTTCAAAAAACTTTTCGACTAAAAAGCCCGGCTTTAAGGAAGCTGTATCGTTCGTAAAAGTCGTCAAAATTGTGCTTTTTGCCTTCTGTTTTCTGAAATTCGTTGCCATCCTCGTTACATGAAAGTCGACCGTGTTTTTCATAATTTATTCATTCAAACCGCGTTCAGCCAATGTTTATTAACGCGAAGTGAAGCCCATTAATACCAATTCCGCTTTTTCTACTACTTGTAATAATTGGCTGACTTAGTCGACTCAAACAATTCTAAATCTAAACCGGCCGAAAGCGTCCAAACAAAAAATTAATCATGTTTATGATGCATCCCAACATAAAAAGCACATAAAGACCGTAATGAGATGATCGAGGCAACGTTGTCTCTGTTGCTACTGGCTTCATGAGAACGGTGTTAATGACTTTACCATCACCAAGTACAACATAATTTCCAGCCACAGTATGTGGTAAACGCATACAGAAGACAATATTTGCACAAGTCGTGTTCTGGCCAAAGTTTAGAGACAAATCTATTGAAAGAAGCAACAGTAAAAACACCAGTAACAGTAGAAGCTGACAAGGAAACTAATCCAAAAAGACATTCAAATAATGGAAAATCATCCATTGATTTTCACACTTAGATAATATTATCTAATTCAAAAAATTATCAGAGCAGTATGCATGTAATTGATCAACGTTGCTGATGTTTAGTAGAATGCACCGAGCAATAATTGCTAGACAATTAAAATTATCAGTTTGACTCATCCTCTACTAACAGTATTCTTTGATGGATTAGTGTGGAATGGATTTCGATAAAAAGGTTGAAGAAAACTATTTGCAATCAGTCCCGCACATTGGACAATTTTGTTTGTTAAAAAGATAAGCCCGTTTGCTCCTTCCGGCCCAAACCTTATCTGCTGTAAACAGACGAGAAACTTAATTGTTCAAACTTTCTCACTTTTATTCAGCTTTGAAAAATATAATGCTTAAACCCAGCGAAATACCGCCGAAAAACGAATTGGCTGCATTTCTCCAGTTTTCACGTAATGTGTCAGGTAAACTTAACGATTTGTTATTTTTAAACACAGTTCTTTGAAACGGTCGAAATGCCCGAATAAATCAAATTTCAGTTTTATCAGGTGCCAGGCATAATTCACTTATTGTTTTGATGCAATGCCAACAGCAATAAATCTAAAGGGTTTATTCCCAGAGGCCAAAAATAACGCTCCAAGTGCCATTAGCATTTATATGTGCATTGGAAACGTGCCTTCAACATTAAAGCTTCGAATTCTATTGAAATTTGTTTTCCAACAATAAAGCAACATGAAGAAACACAGTCTAGTTGAGGAAAATTTAAATTTAAATCAACCTGAACACTAATGTCTTTGCCGAGAAATCGTCATTCAAAGTTCCTAAAATCAATTGCAGATAAGTAAATTTGAAACATCTCTACCCCAAATCTAAAGCATTAGATTATTTTAAAATTATCTTAGTTCTTGGCATCCAACATGCAGCCGTAAGATCAAAGGCAGTTTATTAAATCCGATTTCTTTGAGAGTGAGCTTAGGTGTACAAGTTTCTCACCAAATAAATTCGTGTAACATCCGGCCTACGAGCACCGAAAACGTGCCATTGTCAATATCCGGAAGATGTTAGTGACTTCTTGCATAAGGAAGCTCATAAGTCAATTATCGGCAAGAATTCACCGGATGGAAAGGGTTAATTTTAGGCGCACATTTCCAAGCCCCAAGAAGGAATCTCGTGTCCACTCAAATAGCGCCAAAAAACCATTAGAAAAGAGGGCCAATGACAAAAAAAACTTTTTTAAATGGGCAATATTATGTGGCAACCACGCCAGTTCCATTCATGTATGTTAAAAGTAGCCTATACAAAGGAAGTTAGAGTTCTTGGACGCAACAAGAAGAGACAGAGTCTAATTGATATGAGCGACCATACACAACTCACACATTTTTATGCTGAAGACACATTGTAAAGTTGTGAATTTAATACCAATCATCGGCCACCAGAAGCTAAAACTGTATGGAAATACATTGGTTATTTTACTGTTTAGACTCCTCTTTAGCTGATATTTTTGCATAAAAAGGCAAAAACACTCCGCATACTTCACTTCAATTGTGTATTTGTCGACAATAAAAATCGAAGCAAAACCTCACTGAGTCAATAAATATGAAGATGAAGAACTAGTAGAAAAAACCAAGCAATTGAAACCAAACCTTCTAGAGTGACAAAGTAGCTGAAGCGTATACAGAGTGTTTTGTTACCAGTTTCCGTTATCGGTTCGCTGAGTGCACTGATTGGCCCTTAATTAGTTCTACGCTGAACGAAACAAAAGGGTGAATCACTCGTAGGGATCGGACGACGTATGTTTCAACACCGGAAAGATAAGCTATTATTATAGGCCAAAGGAAGAGAGGCGATTAAAAATAAACTGCTTTTGTTGGGTATTTCGGGTGCGTGAAGGAAGTTTCAGTTCAAAAGTGTACTTTTTCTAACGCGACGTTTTTAACCGTTGCATTTTCAGAGTGTGTTTTTATGTTAGATTCGAAGGAAAAAGTGCAGATCATTCTCAACTGTTACCACAAATCGTCAGTATTTTCCTCTAAACCCCCCTATGTAATCTAAGCACTTTAACCTGCTATGAAATGGGGGTGCCGGTGTTATTTTAAACCATTCCATAGAACCCAAGTTAAAATACAGAGTAAGATTAGTCAGTGAGAAAGTATGTCACAATAAGGTCCATAAGCATGCCAGGGTATTTTTTTTAAATAAAAAATGTGATTAAATGAATATCGTTAAATAAGGGAAACTGTACAAGTCTTGGTCACAGAAAATATGTACGTGATAACATTTCAGAACGACACAATTAGAAGATTTCTATCAATCAATATTAACTGAAACTATGGAGTAAGGAGAAAAACACTAAAACAGCATTTTCCCCTTGCATCGCAATTATCACCTACCTTGGAGTAAATCTTCGGATTAAAAGTCACTCTTCGGAGGGCACCTTTCTTAAACGGCGGACTATCGTAGAAATTCTGATCGTCTACTCCGTAGTCGAATGTTGTATCGTCCAACTCCATCTGTAAACACAAGAAAGAATAGTTGAGTTTCTTGCAAAATGTAACATTGAAATTATAGAAAATGTTCCTTTAGAAGGAAAAAAATCAATTTCTTCAGCAATGTATTACAGTTTTAGAAATGTTTACCTAAAACACTTAAAGTCGTCAATGCGGTTTCAAAAATATGGTCAGGGAACATCAAAATTATCTTAAAATAAGAATATTGGATATTGAGATTATTGCAAATAATCTGCTTTTCGGAATTTCCGATTCGCATTGATTAAATTAGAAACACGACTCGAAAGCGAGCGCGAAATAAACTCCAAATTCTTTGAACATGATTATATTTCAGTGATTAAGCTTGTAGTAGAAGGCGGAGTAGGGAAATAACGATGATTAATTTAAAATAACAAAGATCGCAACCCAAATAAAAGGATTATGCCGGCAACAACCATCAAAAAGTTGGAAAAAGTAAGTTTTCTGATAAAAATAATGCGGTTTCATCAACAGCTTTAGACACTCAAACTCACTCAAATATTCATTTGAGTGATTTTGTTTAATAATCAGTAACTTATACAAAAAGTCTTTGAGCATCCTTTGCCCTTGATGCGGGTTTCTGTTTGATGCAAGTCAAATCGCAGCCTTTGCAATGTAAAACGAAAACCAACACGTCTCCCAAGGTTAAATAAAGGGAAAAATATGAAAGTCTAATGGATAAAGTTGCATAAAATAGGCAACTTAATGGTTTTTGGTGCTGATGTGTGAATCTTCAATGTTAATGCATTCTAACTAATGCGGAAAGTACCGATAGAAATCGCTGAAAAACTTATTCAGTGCACTTGGAAACTGATAAAAAAACCGAATGGTAGGATAAGTCTGATTTAGACCTTAAACAGGCTTAATTTTCACGTTTGTTTAGAGATTTGACAATTTTGGAACACGCAGTATAAAATTTTCTTTCAGCACAATTTAAATTACTAATCGACAATCCCGAGCATATTTTCAAAAAATAATCTTTTACTGAATGCATTGCATGTACTTGTTTATTTGAATGTACATATTTGAAATGAATCAAACAACATTTTAGTAGAGGGTGAATTTTTTCCCACCGCCGAATCTCAAAGGCTTTAAAGTTAAAAGCCTTTCTCACTGGTATGCCCTAAAAGATAGTCATCCCTCTTGAAACCCGATATGAAATCTTACGGGTTCCCAAACAGGTGGCCTGCAGACGTAGTGGGCAAATAAAAATGTATATGCATTCACTCCTACTGTTCGTCAACCAGGGGCGTACCGAATATTAAAACACAATCAAAATCGAATTTAATCAATAAGTTAAAAGTTCTCACAGTAAATCAAGTTTTTGATCGGTTTTCTAAATTCACTGCAGATGAACTGCTGGAAGCGAGAGCACAAACATATGCGGCACTAAAATAACAAAGATTTGAATGCCTGTTATCGTACATGCATATTATGAACTTCTAAGAACTTTGGTGTTTATCTCTGGTTGCAGTAACGAGTAACGACAGTCATTTACGTGACTATCCAGTGAAAAGTACAACATTCAAGACATGGAACGCGACAATGGAACTGCTAAAAAGGAATTTTTATATGCAACAAAAAATGGTTGTCCATCAAAACAAAAACAAACTGTTTTGGTCGATTCCGTTATCTTCGATCAACACAATTCGCGATATTATTATGGCAACATTAAAAATTATTTTGATTGCCCACAATTACGCGATTCAAAGCAGGTATTGAATACCTAGTAGTAATAATATTCGATACAGATTACTGTATGTATGCGGCTGGTTACCAGGATTTATCCAATAATAAACCTCTTACTATCTAATCGATTCTCCTTATCAATATAGATGATTGATATTTTTTTAGATGGCGACGTAACGTTTCTACTTTGTGCAAAATATCGTACACTTTTTCAAATTGATAAGTTTGCTATTGAGAGAAATCAATGCACGAATATTAAATTTATTATAAAATTAAGAAATAGTTTCGGCTGAAAATCGGATGGTGAGGAACAAGGAGTAGAACCCGTTTTAATTGCTTTCTAGTCACGTGTACTTAAAAACAATTTATCCAATAAACTTTTTTGAAACAAAAACCCACTAATTTTCTTATAAAAAAATCTCGTTTTTCCATATATAACTAACTTACTGAAATACTGCTGGACAATTTATACATTTTTCAAATACAATCCCTACTTTTAGGCGGGTTTCAAATAACATCATGCATATTCATAACACAGTAAACACTAAACTAAAATGACAATAGTAAACAAAACCGCCGTTAAATACAAAACTATTAGGTAAGATTCTGCTGTCAACAAACCAGAATTTGCAGTTATTTATTGGGTTGAATCAGGCAGCAGCAGCATCAGACTGTACCACTGATAGATCAAGTAAACAAAAGCAGTGCTCTGAAGATAAATCAGTAACTTTACCTTCAGTACGTACAACTGAAAATGTATCCAAAAAGCGTGAGTACAATCACAATCCGAACAAAACACCCGCACAACACAACCGAAAAAAATGTTCGCAAATAAACCCCCTATTTCGTTAAAACAGAGTTCAGATGGCTGAAAATCTGGTAATCCGGACAGCCGAAAGCCTCACAACGACACGGACGCGTACGCGATGAATGAACATGAGCGAAATGGTAGGAGGCAATGTTCGAATTTTATTGGCCTGCGTCACATTCATGCCTAGGCTTGATACGAAAATAAATAAGAGCAACGCTTTGAAGGTATTTTTTCCAATTTAATCAGTAATTGCATAACTTTACCGTATTCTTGAATGTTGGAGAAGTGATGCCAGCTGATGGCGGTTATTGATAAATAGCCCCACTATTATTTGCACTAGTTCAAGGTTTATTTATAGCCGAAAAAAATGCATGAATGAACGCGAAGCAATGAATGAAAGTCTTTTTCAGATAGTTCAGTTTAGTTAGCTTAACAAGTTCCGGATAGTTTATGTATTGTAGTTATTCTTGAGTTGATTTTAAGCGGCAACAGTGCTAACCGATAAGATAATTTTGAGGGCACCAAAAGCTAAAAAAGTTCCACCTACCGTTTCAGCGTCGGATTCAAGGGGTTCTTTATCGAAGCGACACAGTGTTAAAACCAGACGATAACTTCTTGCAACTTTAGAGCCAAAAATTGGATCAAACTTGACAGCGAAACGTCAGAAAACGCCAAAACTGAAAAGACCCGTATTTTCGCAAAAACCGCACTACCGAATAGGAAAACATCACGAAACGGCCAAGGAAAAGTTCCGGTTTGAGCGAATCAACAATTTTCCGCGCGAAAATTGAAAATATCTTCAATTTTTGAATTTCTACAGAGCGAATTGCGCACCGCTTCACTCTTATCGGCCATTAAACAAAAGACTGCTTGTATGCCAATACATGCGTATTAAGGTGACTTGGACGTATAACCCCAAAAACCCTTCAAAGAAGTTTAAAACATCAAAGTTGTGCTAAAAATAATTCAAGAAGCTAAACCAAGCACTACTTGGTGAAGCTGAGTTCAAGTTCAGTTCAAGGCTCTGAGCTGCCACTCAGAGCCTTGAAGAAGTTGACAAAAGCAGCGGGTTGTAGAATGTTGAGAGAACGAAGGAGTTAAGATCGTTTCATCTTCTCGATGGGCATTAAAAGTTCGAAACACAGAGCTTAAAGCTGGTGAAAACAAGGCATAGAAGCCCACATTGAAGAAGGCGACTAAAGAAGCAGAGTTCCAAGATGAAGGAAACTATGCAATGCCCGAATATTAAGCAGCACCAACCGGAAATTGAACAACTGCAAAGAAGCATCACCGATATTAAAATCGAATGGTAAGTAAGATTACAATAAGCTGAAGAGATCTGCAAAATCAATCAAAAAATATAATTCAAATACCTACTTTGCAAGAGCTTCTTATGCTTACACTACTAATCTAAATCACTCTAAATCTAAACTACTGGGGGCTGAAATTCCAAATCAACAGTCATTAGCAACGTTTTATTATTCGAATTACAGAAAAAACCAACAACAATCTGATACCAAGTTATACGAGCATTTAGTATATTGCAGAATAAATAATTATTACGAATTGCATGCACCTCTGATTAAGTAAATTGCGCATATATAAACAGTAAAAAGCTGAAAGTGTTTGGAAAAACAAACCGCCCTAATTAGGGCTTACTTAAGTATCCAGCCTAGGTGATATGTCCTTTCCGTTTTCCTTTGGATTGGCTATTCGCGATCCAAACTGGAGAGCTCGTTTCTTGAGCGTTGCAGCGTTTCGCAGCCCTAATTCATAGGCCAGGGAGCGAAGCAAAATCTTTTCTCCAAAGCCCTCAGGAAGATCATTGGTTGGATATGTTCTAACAATCCCACCAAAAATTAATTCCCGAGTGACCGGCAGGAGATTGGAGGACAAACAGTATGTACTTTAAAGACAATCCGGATTTTCGCTTTTAGGAACTGTCGGTGTTCTCGCGACTTGCTTTAAGGTGCACCGGGTGTTCGGATAAGAGCGCAGTGTGGCAAAAAAACTGGCTCTTATCCAAACATCCGCTACCAAAATCGTTACTTACTTTTCCCAGCTCGGTAGCTCCCGAACAAAATCCACCACATTTTCATCTAAATAAGGCGTTCGCAGCTGTCGACCGTGATCTGATACAGCCCGATCATCTCGTCCTAGATTACGATATGGAAGATTCATCCAGTCGTCATCCAATGATTCTTGCAGCCCCTGAAATCAAAAAAACAATTTCCCTAAAATTCTTCAACAGTTATATGCAGTTGACTGATCAACTGAGTTAGTTGCTCGATTTACCTTCCAGGAATATCGCTTAAAGGCTGTCCTGTGCCTTCTGTATCCGCCAAATAATTCATCGGCACCCATTCCAACAATCAAAATCTGAAAACATATGCAGTGGTATCAACCAAGGGCGGATTCAGGGGGGGGTCATGGGGGTCATGGCCCCGCTACCATTCAATTCTCTATCCAACGATGCCAAAACGAATTCTGTGGCTCGGATGGTTCTTGAGAAACTTCGAAAAAAGCAGCGACATGTTCAAGTGGATTTTGCAACTCAAAAAAAAACCACGCAAATCTAAAACTTCTTGAATTTAAGTCTTTTTTGAGAAAACTGCCAACATTTCCCCATCCATGGTTCACTTTCTAATAAGGCCATTTATTTCTGTCTAGAATGATGTACACATGAACGTTCTTGCTCATTTTGCCTCCGAGATATGAGCAAAAACGGGCCGGAAAACATGAAATTTTGGCATAATCTTGCACCTAAGTGTCTGATATTCAATCAACTCGCAAATTTTCTCGATTAGAAACTTACTCTGGCAGATGAGACATAATGAGAACTCTGGCCCTTGCTGGCAAACCATAACGCACACCCCAGACTATCGTCCAGAATGGTATTGAGTGGATATATCAGGTCAGCAATGTGTCTATCTCGCTCCTGATCTAAGCTCTCTTTAGTCACATTAATCTCAACAAAGTTCCAGTCTCTATGGGGGCAGAGAGCTTTTAGCTCTTCAAGCGTTTCCAGTCCTAGGGGATTATAATTTTAGCAAAACGCCCACGGCAGTTTTTTTAATCCCTAGTCTAAAACACCACATTAGAAATGATAGTAGTTTAAGCCTTGCTACTTGCCAGTGACTCGGTCTGGTGATTGGTAATTCTTTGCCTCCTCAAAGGAAACATTCAGCAGATCGATAGGCCGCTGTTTGTCCACATATTGGTCGCAAAGGGACGCGAGAACAGCGCAATCTACTCCGCCGGAGAATAAAATTCCTGTTGTTGCATGCTTGCAGAGTTTCTTCTCCGCAATGCAGCTCTTGCAATATTCTGGCTGGGCTGCTAGTCGCTGTTGCACAGCATTTTCCAGTAAGTTCCTCAGAGTATACACGTTTTTCTTCCATGTCGGGCAGTTCAGAAGCTCAGTAAATATCGTGTAGGTTTCAAGGCTTTCTGGCTGTTTTAGACCTCTTAGTAGAACCAAGTTGGCATTTTCCGACAAATCGTCCGGCACACAATCGCCCTCAGATGCCGGCCTCGCAATTGAAATGTCGGTTTTCAGGAAAGCTTCCAGCTCCTTCAATTTGGTATAAAAGTTTTTGTTCTTGTAGGGCCAAAAGTCCACTTCAAAGCTGTTCTTCAGCACATCAAAACAGAACACACCTATCGAGGGTATTTCGATGAATCGAAATTGGGTATTCCGTTTGGCCACACTTGTCAGCACGAGAGTGTCGCCTTCCTCATTTCGCCCCAGCAGTAAGCTGCGCCTTCCAAATCGATCTCTGGCAAAGTACAGCTTGTTGTTGGTTTTATCGAAAAATATGAACGCATAAGGACCGTGCAACTTGCCCAACCCATTTAATAAGTCCGAGGAAATGTGTTCTTTGAGAAATGAATGAAACAAGTGCGTGTCCCCTTTCTCTTTTTGAATGCTGTCATTTAGGCCAGAGAAAATGTCCCCGTTGTAGCAAAAAACCGACTCGGGATCTTCGATCGGCTGGGGGCTCAAAGTCTGGCCCTGCAGCCACAACACACTGGAGGCAAACGCAAGACTGCTCTGTTGTAGGGACAGCACTTTAAAATTAAAACTGTCCGGACCGCGGTTCTTTATATTGGCCTCGAATATCAGCTGAAACAATCCGTGAAAATTGTGTTTGAATGCTAAGGAAATTGCGAATTCAATGCGGTATTTACCTGGCTGACCAAGTTATCACAATTATTACAAAAGCTATTTAAAACACAGAATATCCCGCACATTATGAAAGTCAACAAAATGTCACTTTGAAGCCGTTATGTTCCGGTCGATCTTCTTTTCTGGGGGCTGTAGACGGTTTGCAACAATGGATTTATGTTTAGAATTTAAAAGTTCCTCAGGTAACTGGAAATTTTTCTCACTTTAATGGGTTTTGTGTTCTTTGAAAGTTTGCCTCGAAAGTTAAAAAAATTGATTCAACCGATGACTTGATTGATTACAGAATTTAATATCTACTTTACACAATAGTTTATAAGTAGGCCATTAAATCGCCGAAAATTAGAAATGCATCCTCGCCTCAAGTAAGATAAATGGCCCGGGGTAAAAACGCCCTTTTTTCTAGGATTATAATATCTAAAATTATGTACAATATGTTTTCTCGGACTGTCTTATCCAAACAGCAACAATGGAATGCATACTGCACCACGGTTCCACTGGCAACAGGGCATTAAAGCAAACTCCTACGACTAACTTCACGCTTGAACAGTCATGTTTTCGGTTGGTTATGTCATAGATAAAGACGTGTATGGGTTCTTGTCTTTCTGAGTTCTGAGTTCTGGTACTTGTCTTTATCTATGTATGGGTTATGTTTCCGCATCAGTTGTGCATCAGTTGAACCACAGACTACATACTATTGAACAGTCTGTGAGTTGAACATTTCCAGTCTGATTCGCAGATTAAAAGGAACAACTTTATATAAAAGTGTGTGTGTATACAGTTCTATGAACATCTATGAGTAGTGCGCGTGTGGATAAATCGATTAAAATGTCCAAAGAAGTAGACATTAAGCCCCCCAACCACATTGTCGACGATTGGAGTTTCAATTTCCAAGGTGCTGGCAAGATAAGTTCATGTTTCGACTCTACTAACTTTAATCTGGACGAATCGTATCCCGTTCAAGTGACCCACATATACGACCCTTCACATTTCTGGATCGTTACCAGAATCGCGGAAATTGATGCTTTCCACCACTATATGCACGACTTTTATAAAAAGTACACGAGGTATTATCGAATTCCGCTCGAACACCTTAAACTGAACATGTACTGTATGGTTCACATTGATACACGGTTCTACAGAGGCATCTTAACCAATGTGCCTTTGCTTGGCGATGCCCAAACGTTGGGTTTTGTATTTTTGATTGACTATGGCAGTACAGCCAAAGTGCCCCTTGATCAATTGTATTTCATGACCGAGGCGATGTTTGATGTGCCAGCGTTTGCAGTTCGAGCCAGTCTGCAAGGTAAGATTGTATATCTTATATTGTTTGAAAGCAACACTAATTCTGATTCTGTTTAGGATTAGGGCCTTTGGAAGGAGATTCGTGGCCAGTGGATCTCGCGGACGAATTGTGGAAATTAGTGACCACCGACTGTCTCGTCGGTAAAGTCACGTACATCTGCAGCACAAACAAAGTGCTATTTTTAAAACTTTTCAACCTCAACGACAATAATCGCGAATCGATCAATGATCATTTCGTATCTGAACGTTTGGCGCGACAAATGTCCACTTTCGATGTTAAAGAGATGAAACGCTCCCAAAAGGAAAAGCGTCTTCCTGTCCTACCATTCCTACAGCCATCATTTGCGGAACTGGAAACAGGAGCCTGTACGGATTCGAGTAAATTGGCTGAATTGATCAAAGAGTTTCAGCCCTTTGCTAAAATGTGATCTACAGTGGCAACTTTAATTTAATGTTACTTTTAAAATAGCTGACTGTATTGCCAGTATAACACTTTCCCGCGCACTTAAAATACGCTCTTTAATAATATGCCGAGTGAGCCAGTTTATACAATCAATGAAGACACTTTGCCCCGCCTTTGAGGCCCTTTGTGTCAACAATTTGTAATTTTACTTACGTGATATTAACATAGGTAGTGTTAAGTGTATATTTTAGTTTCACATGCTGTGACCATAAGACTGAGACCAGAATAATGTTAAGTGTACATTTTCAAATTGTTCAAACTTATCTTTAGTTAAATCTACGGGTTTCAATTGAAATGAATCAATATTATCACGAGCAGAACAAATAAATGTAGAATTTACTTTAACAGCATTCTGTCTAGGTTTTTTTTGCATCTGGCAGATCAGATTGGCTAGACTTTGCCAAAATTTGTTAATGCCGTTGAAATTGTGCAAAAAATCTGAATCTTTAGTATTTCTGTTAGTAGCATAGTCGGCATAATATCAGAATTCAATAGAGTTTAATTTTAATGCGGGAAAGATGTTTTACATATGATTTCGCCAAGAAGTATTAAGGTAGATAATTCCTACTGAATAGCTAATAAAAATAATGTTATTTAATAAAATTGTTCAAAAATCATAAATCCTTCAATCCATTAAAAGTTGTAGCACAGCGTTTCCCAAACTGATGAGGTTTTTCATCATATAACAATTTCGTATTGGGTTCATTGAGGAATAGCGCAGGAGTGGTGTGATTCTCCACTGCTGCCACTTTTTTATTTGAGTAATAACTCCTTTGTTAATGAGCCATTTTATTCTCACACTTATAAGTATAAATATTTAGACACAAAGCAATATAACTTAATAAGCAAGTATAAAAACATATACAAAATGAGTCCTAACGAAATTTAACAATAGAAAACCTCTGTTCAAAAAATGTATGCAAAAATTAATTAATTATGCGATATCTTGAATCAGACGCAAGGCTATTATTTGCATTGTCCCGGTAGCTTTCTAACTCGAACATCTGATCGTTTTTCTATTATTAAATTTACCTACAATTTATCACAAATTACTGAAAGTTGAACTACACAAAAAAACTGGGTACAGTAAAACAATGTGCGTACACAATATAACATCTGTACAATAATAAAACTTTGTATCGCATATAATATGTACATTTGACTAGGTTGCGTTAACATTTTGTATATTAATATTATTATTATTACTAAAGTCAAACAATGTTATATTCTATTTGAATATTTAAGTTTATCGGTTAACTTGAGAACCAGAGAATTTGGTTTTTCGTGAAAATTGGTTTATTATGAAATTGCTGTTCAAAAGGTTTACCATATTTCAGGCGATAAAAAGTGCAATCATTTGAACAACAGTTATAATAGATAGGGGAAATTGAGTTGTTAACTCCTTCCTGCATTTCACAGGACAAACCAACTGTTCTTGAAAGTAACATTTGGGCTATTCAGTCTTTTTACAAGTAATCAATCTAGGTAGACTAACATTCAATCACCTTCTTACAATGTACAATGATTTTATTTCAAGCAGTCGAAATCATTGCACAGTAAGTAAAATAGCTGAATTTTCTATTGTTCATTCAATCGTTTTGCGATACTTCCATGAAAATACCTCAATTAACATGGTAAATAAATAGAAAACCAACCAATTAGAACCTGCCAAAGCAAAAAACAGTTTCTTGAAAATCCAATTTACCACCTAAATTTGTATAAGATTGGCCATGGAATTTGTTCAAAAACACTGATGTTTTATTTCTGTGGACCTTTTTCCTGTACTCTCAAATGACTTGGTAACTTGCTCAGAAAACTTGTTTGCACGTGATCGTTCACGAAGAAATAGTTTAATACTTTAGGATTCACTAAAAGCAAACCAACTAAAGGTTTTTGTAAAGATCAGATCAGTTGGTTGATTAAAGAGCAAGCATCCTTTGACCGTTGAAAGCCTCAACCAACGACTATCTCTCAATTACTCTATACCTTAACAATATTGTGTTCGCAGACAACTGCAAGTATCGCTTGGTAAAATTTAATAACATTAAAAATTAAATCTTTCTTGAGACGATTTTTCGACGAGGCGAAACAATCAATACCAGTAATATTAAGGGTTTTTCTATGTTTTTTTATAAATGGTTTTAAAACATTCGATTATGAGCTGAAAATAATAAAAACCGATGTGCAATTGATCGCATGATCACATAAATTGATCCCCTTATACCATTTGGAAGGTTGAAATGCATTATTATAATCTCTTTATGGCAGTAGTATCGTTGTGGCATTTGGCAGTGATTTACAAAATACTTTAAACCGGCAGTATTTGCTTAGCAATGTGTTGTCTGCCGTTGCGAGTTATTGAAGCCAATTGGTTGCGGAACAATATGAATCAAACATAAAAAAATTGCGTATTTAAATGGGAAATATGTTATCAAACTTTGCCAAGCAAAACTGGCCATTTGACCAACTTAGTAGCAGCTAGTTCTGATGACGTCGTCTGCGAATGTGACCCTCTTCTAGCTGGGTTGCGGCGGCACCAACGGAGCATGCGGATGTATTGCACTAACAGGTCTGCTTCTTGTTTGCTCCACTTTTCGCATCTCAACCTGTAAGAAAATTACTTAGTAACACGTACCGGCCTATAGCCACAGATCGTGAACCAGCTTACCATATTTTCATGCAAAACTTCCATATACTCCCTAACCAAAGTAGCTATCTGGAATGCCTGAGCAGTAGTTAGGATCACTTTGCTTTGCTTGTGATCGCTGCCAGTGATAATCATCAAACATTGCAAGGCTGGCGAATAGGACAAAATGCTGTTATAGTCGTATGTGCAAAGCGTATTTCTCGATCGATGTTCAAGCAAGTGAAGGCCCTTTTGGTCGACTGCTAGCCATAAAACTCGCGGCCAATTTGAGGTGAATGATTGCTGAAATCACAACATTAAATCAACACAATTCATTTCAATTTCAATCGATTACCATAACGTCGAAGATTGTGGCTTTATGCAACGGCCAACTCTGGATCAGATTCAAAAACGCTTGCTTTGCTTCTGAGGGCGTCATGCCTCGGAGACTTTGATGGTGCATCTGCACTCCATCCTGAGGCACTGTAGGCACCATTCGAGCCGGCAGACAATGACAAGAAATCGGCCGGTAATCGTGAATTGTTTCGTCAAAATCGCCCAACTCCAATTGTGCTTGCAGGGCAGTCAACATCATCTAAAATTACCCAAAATTGCACAGATCTATCAACAACTCTTTTAAATCACTTACAGCTTCTTTCTCCGTAATGGGAAACCGATCCGTGCGCAAATCGTGCAAGACTTGGTGATATAACAACTCCTTTTCAACTGGATCGTTTAAATTGATGTAATTATCCATGAACAGATGCTTCTTGAACAGGAAGAAATGATGCTGCGGGCGCACTTTTTTTGCCGTCCCCGTGGTAGTAGTCTGATTCGCTGTTGAAGCGGCTCTGTATCGTTCCCACTTTGCCATCACATCGGCCACCTTTTCCTCAGCAGACAGGCTCCGTTCAGAGTTCCCCAACACTTCGTATATGGCATAACCTGATAAGAACATTGTATTAAATAACATCCTACTATCGAGCAATGTGAAGAAAAAACCTACCTTTGGCCTCTTCAGTAAGGCCGATTTTATCTCGAACCACTTCCAACACATCATTCGCCGTTGCTGATGGGTTGAATTCGACGCTATGATATTGACCATCCATGAAATGGAACCTGGCATAGACTGGCCGACGATTGATCGTACAGAGAATTTCTTCTCGCGATGGGGGCCATTGTCTGCGTCTAGTGCTTTGGGTTTTTAATAGGCACTTTTCTGCAAACCTTGCATACTTTCCTTCTTCAGTTACATAGTCAGAACTACATCTAAAAGCAAAACAGGTAAACCCTGATAGTTTCGCACTCACGCGTTTATCAATGTACCTTTTTAGATGCCCTATCAAATAGCGCCTGATGACTTTGTTAGGGGGCAACACAACCGAACAGGACAACGATAACAGAGCCCAATGCCGGAGATTCACCCTGGAGTTCGGATCTGGATGATCAGTGGTTTGCTTGATCAGTTGCAGATACAGTTCACACAGCAGTGACTCTTTGCGCATGCATCTTTCCAAGATGGTTTGCAGGAGGGAAACGTGCTCGTCTTCAACTCTTCTGATGATTTCGCCTGAAAGCGATGCGACCAAAGTACAAATTAAACAGTCTTTGTTGAAGCCACCATGAGTGAGTACCGTTCTGTCCAAGGCCAGCGTAAGTGAGAATGATTTGGAACACTTGAAGCATTACTTGTTCTTCGGCCTCGGGCATTTTGCTGATGCTCTGAAGCAATGGCTGTTTGCTAAACGCCCAGAAAGCATGGTGGAAGCCTTTATACGTTTCGCTTGTGTCACCTGGAATATTTACGAGGCTTGAGCGTAAGTGCATAAATCGCCAACAGCATTCACTGCGTATTACCTCCATGCTCTTGCCTGAGCTTGTCCAGCTTATGCTTGCTTAATCTGCGCAGAGTGTTTCTCAGAAAACTCCCCGATGAATCGGTGGGTTTTCTCAGTATGTCGTGATCCACTAAGGACCGACGACAGTTAACCAGGTTGTGATAGAGCCGCACTCTGTCCTCATTTGTTATACCTAAACATTTTAGGCGATGTTAAATAGTAGACGAGGAATGTGTGTAGATGCTCACTTTTCACTCGTTTTTGCGGCGCTTCACTTTCAGTCATCCATCCGGCCAGAGCTGGATAATAGCTGGCGATCAAGGAGCCGATTTCGTTTTTCTGCTTGGTTTCAAACACGTAACATTTATGATTGTTTTCCCCCACTGATCGTTGAAGAGTGATCGTTATGAAACTGTCGCTGGGATCGAGAAGAATGCTTTCGATATCCTGATACCGGAACTCGTTCAATACAAATTTGTCGTCGTTTTTGATCAGCATTACTCCATCACAGTTTACACCTAAATCAAACATTTTTCTCATTATTGCTACCGGCATTGAGTAACGTGTCTTCACCTAAAATTAAAGCATTTCCATACGACCAGTAGCCTCTATAGGTAACAGGGAACATCGTAGTGCCATACAGAGGATACTGCATGACGCAGGTGAGGTAGAGAGCTTTTGCAGTCAGTTCTAAACGGTTTGCTCCATATTGGCGGTGAGCTTGAGCAATAATTGGCACCTTTGGAAAAACCAGATTAATATAATTCCAAAGATTCAAGAAAGAGAAGGAAAAGTCTTCTTACCCACACATCATCTCCACGGGTTTTTGATATGCGATAAGGCAAATAGGTGTCTATATCAGTGTAATACTCCAGTTTGCTGTCGTCTTTCGGATTGCCTAATGCTACTTGTGCCTGCAATCCAGCTAATTGCAATGCTACTTTTTCGGTAACTGGAAAATCATCTCGCTACAAAAACATTTTTTGTCAATTGCTAACCCTAAAGAACAACTTTCAGGTTCCGAGAATGAAGCTTTTGATCTTGGCCAAAGAAAAACTTGCCTTAACTACACTATGAACGGCTTGAGCATATAATAGATTCACTTCGACTGGATCTTGACTAAGCACGCGAGTGGCTTTAAAAAGTCTTCGTCTAAAAATGAATCGATTTTCGCCGCCACTTAGACCCGGCGCGCTTCGTCTCCCTAAGGTCGCTAAGCCGCTTGGAGGAGTCAGTTTATTTTGATTCCTGAAAAAACCCCAAAAAATGTTCACCCCCACTATCTCAGAAAATAATTAAACACGTACTGTTCCCATTGCGCAATTATATCATACAAGTAATGGTGAGCTCGAACGTGCTCCTCGCCATCCGGTCTGTTCTGATAGATGGCCCATCCTTCCAAATTTCTGAGCCCCAATCGTTCTGCTAGTTTCCTAGCGGCGTCTTGGGCCGTATCTGTAGGATGAACATCGATTGCCTTCGTACGACCATCCAAGAAAAAGAACCGACAAACAATCGTTCCTAATCTTTTCATTGCCTACGACACAAACATTTTCCTCGGGCCGGATTAGAGTGGATAGACAACTTACTGCTACTTCAACCGACGAGGGAGAATGTTCTCGAACAGTAATTTTGTTATTATTGCAATTGTCCAAACACCATTGAACATACTGAGCAACTTTGCCATCTTGCGTGAGGTTTTTCTTCAAAAACGAGATAAAATATCTGTACAGCAATTTCGATGGCTGGAACGAAACAACACAGAGGCACAACAAAAGCCAAACACGCTCGGCCGAGTCGGTATTCGGATTATTTGTGGCCTAAAATCAGAAGAAAAAAATCAGAAATTCTAATTTTTCGATGGTAAATAGCGGAACACCTACCTGTCTGATGCACTGCACAAACACTTCGTCTCGAAGCTCTTCCCGTTCCAGCGCAAACCCAATTATTGACTGGATAACCGAAAGTTCCCTGTCCGTGTTAAGCTCACCCCGAATATATTTACATAAATCCTGCAAAGGCAACTCTCAAAAAACCGTGGTGGATTAAACATTTCGCCGACTTACTCTAAAAATAGTACAAGCTACATTAACGTTATCTGGATCATATAAATGCATGTGGGAATTGGGGATTGTGTTTCCTTTGTAAAAAGTGACCATTTCGTATTTGGGGATCATTTCAGAACTTTGCCTTTTCCTCGTTAGCGTTGCCATAATCGTACCTGCAACATCGATACACTCAAAAGTGCCATTTCCCACTTTTCACTGCCTCATCAGTACAAATACTTTAAAAGGCAATACAATGCTTCCAGTATTAGACAGCTGTTTAAAAAACTAACGTTTTGGTACCTTTTCTGAAGCGTGCAGCAGGAAAAGAACAAGCCACAACAACTCGAGAGTCGCTTGTTGCCTGCAATTTAGAAAGTATGTAATAGTGTTGCACAGTGACCTTTCAGTGACTGAGGGATCTAAATGGTGCCAGCTACTGTACCGAAAGCATTGTACTACGATAAATTATGTCAATCTATAGGTAATCGGATCAGGAAAAATGAAACAAATCAAATCTCGGCGTAATTTACAGCAATGACGAAGACAAACGTGCCAATTCGGATTCATTTGGGTGCCATGGATGACAACAAAAATTGCAGATAAATAGTTGAATATCGCATGTATTTACAAACAGAAAAGTCACTCAGATGTTTGAACTTGAAATATGCACAAAACCTGCAAATTGTACCTTCAGGACTTCTCTCGTGAGCATTGAAGTGCTGATTAGCAAATTCAACCATGTCATAGTGCAATTCGTCCAAATGGTTTTCCTTCTCGCTGTTTTCGCTCAATTCCTGCAACTTCTTCTCGACTCTGAATTTCCTTCTCTGCTCCCTTTCACTGCTGGCAATTTGATGCAATTTGTCCACCTGCTGCTGCTGGTATTGCTGCGTGATCTGATTGTTGTTCTGATGCAGCTGCTGAACTGGAATCTCGTGATTGTTGTGTTTCCAATGCTGCGACTGTAAGTTGATTCCATTCAATTAGTTTGATTCAAACAGCAAATTAAAAAATGCAAAATAAACTACCAAAGAACTGCTGGATCGGGACACTGTCGGTGTGGGTCGAGGACTTTCAGAAGGCAATTTGGGAGGCGCTGGCAATGGAGGAGGTGAAACGCACAATGGAAGCATTGAATCTTCTCTAGGCAAGACCGATTCGTAGATGGGCTCGTCTCTTGATTTTCTTCCTGCAAAAATCCATGTTGTAAGACTGTCATGATTAACTGATGTTAAGGCATTAAGAATGGAAAATGACTGTAATTTTACTTGCCTTCTTTAGGAGGAATTTCTATAGGAGGAGGAGCTATCGGCGTCTCTGGAGACGATTGGAAGGCTGGAGGCGGGGGCGGTGGAGGCCCGGTTGGCTCTGGAAGACTCGGCAGGCCCATTTTTGGAAGCACTGGAGTCAGCTGTTCTTGTGCAAGACCTGGAGATTTACGGCAAAAACAAATCAACCAAATCGACAGCATGCGGTTTTCACATAAGAAAATAACGAGCTTTGAAAAAGCAACCGCATTTCAATACATGCTCCACCTACCTTCTAACTCTTGCTGTATCACTGTTTCTAATTCGACGTCCAAGTCTTCCACTAGCTCATTCATTTTTTCCCCAATCTCATCTATTATGTTGGTGCGGCCGTTGGCTTGAGGTGCAACATCCGAGAGGAACGCAAACAAGTTGTCCAGATCGACAGATTCGGTGGCGTTTTCATTGATATGTGGCTTAAGCTGTTCTGCCATATGAGAAAGCTCTGCTATTTCTTGCTCGGCGGCTCTGCGACGGGAATAATTGGTCAGAAATTAGGGACATTTAGACATTATAAGAAAGGCACCTTTCGCTTTGCTCTAGATCGCCGTTTTGTAATGAGATGGGGATGGGCGGGGGCGGCAGTGCTTCCATTTCTTCGGACTCCAGCTCTTTTTCTCTATTCAGCCTTGCCGCTTCCGCGTCCCGTTCAGCCTCTCGCTGCTTTCTTTCTTCTTCTAGGCGTTCTCGTTTGCGCATTTCTTCCTCTACTCGTCGCATTTCTCTTAGAGCGGCTGCCACTTCTGCAATTAAACCGGGAGCTTCAGCAATGAAAAAATGTGAAAATTAGTCGGAACCACCTCTGGCGAATACACCCCTCAAGTGGCTTTGTATTACAACGGCGGCTCTTCTTTTTTTCAAAAAATCTATCCGTAGTTTCCACCCTTTGTAAGCATGCTGGATTTTCAGGATGGCGTCCCGGATTTTCACATATTCTTTCCTAGCTTTATATTTTCTAAAAATGCACAGTCAGGAGAATTGTTGATTGATCGGGTTGCAAATGAGCTTACCGCCATGTTTTCTGGATAAGAACGGTTTTGGCCTTAATCATTTTATTTCTGGTGTCCTCCAGTGGTTCGTGAATGTGAGATCGCATAAAGACTTTCGTTTTGCCCAATTGCCATTCTGTCTTAGGAAGCCGGTAGCTTTCTATTAGACAGAGCGACGCCTTCTGAACGTCCGGAGGCAAGCGATTTTTGGACAGACAGTGATACCTAGAGAATACTGACTTTAAGCTGGTTCATATGGATTACTCACCCGAATAATCACCTTATAACAAAGTCTTCGTAATTCATATGAATCGGAAATCCTTCCTTTCTAATTCTAATAATATCTAACATTCCTAAATACTTTAATTGGTCCAGGACTAAAGCGTCATCATAGTCGTTTGGAAGTTTGTCTTTGTTTGGCTTGATACACCTTACATACCAGGGGGTGGTCGACTGGAGCACATCAACCAGAGCTTGCAATTGATGCCTGAATGAGAGCAAATGCTCGAAATAAATCGGGTTGTAAAGTCAACAGTGAAATATTACCTGAATGTATCCGACACTGTGGGTTTTCCTTTGCTGGTTCCTCGTGAAACCGTGCCCACTCCGTTAGTGGTTTGCGTTTTCTGTGCTAGATCTTGAAACGTGGATAAATCCTGCACGAATTCATTGGTACTTCTAGAAATGATATCGAAGAAAACGTCCTGCTGAACGTCGCGGTTTTTATCGACAAATCCCTTGACATTATACGTTACACAGCCTGCATAGTGTTTAACACCGAATTCAGTCTCCCATCTCCTACGGTCGTCACCTGCAGAACAATGAAATTTCATGAAGCAATAGTTTGTTTAAAACATGTGCTCTTGCCTTTAACATATCTCTCATTATTCTCGAATTCTGCATGCAAATTGGAAATATACGAAGCATCACAACCTCTGGGTAGGTGACATTGTTCACTCAGCAGTCTTAAAATACATCTAGGCGGTTTCTCCAATAATTCTAAACATAACGTATTGTCCGTAAAGGCAATATGATTAAAGCTTATTTCTTCTTGTTGATACTGAAAATTTCCGTTTAGCAAAAAGTGAAGGTGGAAACAGTCCGCACTTACAATATCCTGTTCCAGTGCGAAAACGTAATGATTGAAAAACTTGTGCAATTTCTCGTTGGTGTAGTTAATACACAACTGCTCGAACGAGTTAACGGCGAAATTTTCAAATCCGAAAATATCAAGCACGCCTAAAAATCGGGAAGAGTCTTGACCTGGATTGATGCAGTTGTTGATGTGATTGATCAACCAAGCAAACGTTCGGGAGTATAAAGCTTTGGCCATTGCGTGACGGTTTTCTCCAGCCTAAAAAAAAATAATTAACTGCCGAGCCAAGGGTTTTGTTAATGCGATCACACCTGCTGTTTTGTAAGCGGAATCTCCGTAATATTTCCCCGGACATTTATTTGTCTTAACAGCACTACTTGACGGATACTCTGGATTTCCAAACCAAGCAGTTTGGATAAAATTTCCAGAATGCCTTCATCATCTTTGGTGAGTTGCGATCTTTCCCCATCTGAAACAGAAGAAATACAGTCAAAAACTAGAAATATTTCAAGGAAATAGTATGCAATAACTATGAGATTGTAGATAAGTTCTATATTGTTGAGGCGGATTCATTTTTTACAAACTTCTTTTTGGGTATTTCGCCTCAAAAATTTAGAGGGTATCCTGCGACACACTTAGGCTTAAGCTGTAAGAGAAAATTCCAATTAGTAGAGAAATTAATTTGAAAAATTACCTTGACGTTTCG